TACATCATAACATGTGATCTAGATCAGTGTTGGTACATCATAACATGTGATCTAGATCAGTGTTGGTACATCATAACGAGTGATCTAGATCAGTGCCTTACAAGTTATCTAGATCAATGTTGGCAGATCATAACAGATGAACAGGCTTACCTAACTGAACTTTTTGATTTTGGTGGTYTTTTAACTATTTTTTTGCTGAGATACAAGACCCATTCCTTTTGCTCATCCGGCGATGCAGCCAAGACCAGAAGGTCCTTAGCAGAGATCATGTCTGCATTTACTAGTTAGAAAGAAAAAAAAGAAAGAGATGAGTTCCCAGTGAATATGGATAAAATAGACCCCTAAGCCCTGGTCGCTTAGCCTGTACAGCCCAAGCTGTTTGGGTTTGAAGGCGTAACTCACCAAAAGACCTCCAATGATACACCATAGCCTGGACCACTATCCTGAGCGGCCCAAGCTGTTTGGATTTGGAAAAGAGACCCCAAAAACTTGGATCGCTTATAGCCTGTGCGGCCCAAGTTGTTTGGGTTTGGAGAAAAAGGMGGCGGAAAGACGAATAAAGGGTGAAACCTTGAAAACCTAAGTCCTTGAACCCATAGCACAGCGATCATACCCTCAGACCTTTGACTGAGTATTTGGTGAAGCAGAGCCACTAGGTCGTCAATCCTTTTATTGTGCTTTTTCAACTCACCATTACAAGGCTGAATACATGCCTCTTCTCTGTCTACATGGTCCTTGTGACATTTTACGTGGCAGCCTATTACAAACGAACAAAGTGTCAAGTCAATATCAATATCAAGTCAATATCAATATCATATTAATATTATTCTGTTTTTCTACTACTTGTTTTTTGTTTTTTTTGCAATTCCTTTTCCGTAATTCAAAGGAATTTTTTCACTGTTCAACTGACGTAAACGTAAATCTAAAACTCTCTAATATATTGAGAAACTAGAAACCCGTTATCGTCTTAGATCTGACTGGGGTAGAGTGCTGGGGTAGAGTACTGGGGTAGAGTAAATGAATACAAGAGTGGATAGCAAGAAAACTGCACTTTGGAATTATCCTAATGGGAATGAGACCTGAGAAGAAAAGTTGTATGTAATACGGTTGCCTTGAAAAGAACAGCAAGGGTAGTGCATATATGAAGCACGTATGGCGCATTACATGCTGTAAAAGACCCTTTCAGCTTGGGCGTAATGCTTTTRTATGATGTTTTTTCTTTGTTTGAGTTGTATCCATATTCACGTGTCGTCTCAAGCGCAACCATTAAATAATGAAATGGTACTCTAGAGAATGACACGTAATCTGAAATGGAAAAACCTTACGTCCAAGGTAAAAAGGTTTATGGGCCTATATCACACGGCGGCCATGTTGATTCTCATGAGAATAAAAACCTTTGTTTCCCCAGCATAACTTAATTCTCAAGCGCTTGAATTTGAGGCTACGCGTGGTGGAATCTATCGTTCAATCCCACATGGCTGCCGCGTGAATAAGGCCCATTGCTTATCATCTGTAAATAAAATAAATCTCATATGGTGGTATCAAGGGTATATCACTAAACGAATAACTTACGTCTACATTCTAGAGCAGGAGGAGGTTTGAACATATGCCACAGTGGTTTACTACACGATTCACAATTAGTCGGCATGTGAAAATGCATTGGGATGAACTGATGGCGCATGTAATTAATGGTGGCCATTTTTTCCTGTGCAAAACAAAAATAGAAAACTTGAAAGCCATTCTGAGTTTGAGGAACATTTCCAAGATGGTGTCTATTTTAAATAGTCCCACAATGCACTGCAATGCTGATTCGACCCAGTTTTTCCCTCAACCTTGAAATGGGTAATAATAACGTTATGAAATATCTAATGACGCAAGACAGAATACATTAACATCATTATAAACTTCGTGGTCAAGAACGGTTTTGAGTGCGCTCACCTCGGGTGATTGTTGCTCTTCTTTTTCTTTTTCTACGGGGTTTATACTTTCTGCTTCGTTTGCGTAAAGAATCTGACGATAAATAACATTAACGTTAGCCAAAGTCAAGACAGAAACACAAACCAAGATAATCTCTTATAGATCAGGAGGGAGGAWATAAATGAATGACGAAGAGAAGAGAAGAGAAGAGAAAAGATGAGAGAAGGGAAGGGAAGGGAAGAGAAGAGAGGAAAAACGCCTCTCTTCTCTCCATCCCTCAATTTCCATCCGCACTTCAAAACCAGAAAATGCCAACGTTACGCGCAATAAGCGGATATCTGTCATGCATGTTACCTGAAATATTCTAGGAATATCCTTTGCATCTGCACGAATTACGTCACCTTGTGTCACGGATCGCACATGGAATAATTTACTGTCATGAAAAAGATACCGTACAACGTTACTAACGAAATAAACTGACAAACCAAGGGGGAGGGGCACGCGGCTATGAATGGTATCCGTTCCTGAACAATCTTCCCAGACAGGGCGTGAATACGAAAGCCCACTCTTGGTTTGCTACCATCATAACAAGAGGTTGTAATGACAAAAGAAATGAACGGGCTTTATCAAACCGCCACCCGGTTAGCTCAGTTGGTAAGGTCTGTTGTGCGGGAGGTCGTGGTTCAAGCCTTGGCCGAACCAACACTCAGGGTCTTAAATTAACTGAGTAGAAGGTGCTGCCTTTGTAATTATATCTGCAAATGGTTAGACCTTCAGGTCTTCTCGGACAAGGACTTAAAACCGTAGGCCCCGTCTGTCTTCACTATGTAACCCTGTATAAGGCGGACGTTAAAGATCCACTGAAGACGACCTTCAGTGCCCGTGCTAACCGGCTGCCTTATCAATTGGGCCGTAAGGCATCCAGCCGTCCACCTAGGGTGGTAAACGCACTAAGCTAAAATAAAAAATGTATTAACGGACGTTACATAAAAATCTGGAAATAGAAATGTATCACTACTCGCCGGAGCACCCGCCCATGTATCCACAGCACGAACCGCACGAATAACTTACCCAATATCTAGAATCATGACTGGAGTAGAACCATTCTTGTGATCATTGTCGGAATTATAGAAAAACAGTTTACGACTACTAACGACAAGATACTAAAGAAAAAGAAAGAAAAAACACACATTACGACTTAAACAGAGGATCTCATTATCAAGAGTAACACGTGACCTAACATGAGAAAATATTATGCCAGGTGGATTGAGTTCATAGATAAATGTTGGATTGTCATTATAAATAGCATACACAAAAACCGCCACTGGGCTTGGATTTACATTGATGTCAAGAGAGTAGAGTCAGTGCTAATATACATACCTGGTTTCTCCACCCATATTTTTTAATATTTTGCTTGTTGGGTACCGATATCCACCCTTCTTTGTTCATACTCGCTGAAGGAAACAAATAAAATATAAAATCAACYTTCATGTTTTTCTCACCCGTCCATATTAATATGGCGCTTGCAAGTGTGTATGAGAAATAAARGTTCTTTCTAAGGGTACATAGAAAGTCGCTGGAGATCGACTAGAAACGTTATTCATGACGCCATTTGTAAATTTCGTGCTTATTGATTAGGACGTGCTATTTCTAAAGTAAATGACGCGCAATGTAACTGAACATTTCTGCGCACATGCATACTTATCTAATAGATGGCTGTGATTTGTACCTGAGATTGATGGTTTTTCTTCATTAACACTGATATTTGCAGCTGCATTCTTTAGTTTGTTCGTAAGTTGTTCGATCATCAAATCTTTCGATTCCAACTCCATCTTAAAAACACAATCAAAAACAATTAAGCATTTCAAATTAGAATAAATCAAATGTTAAAATGTCGCCAAGGCCAAAGTAAAATATTGCTATGGTCACTGCTGTTGTCATGGTCTCTGTTGCCACTGTTCCAAACAAAAAACAAAAAAAAGAAAACACAAAAAATAACAAAACTGAAGGGGGGGGGGGGGGGGGGGGGGGAGACAACGGCCCGTTTACACCTATCCTAATATTTTTGAAAACGGAATTCTTTATTACGCTTTCAAAAAAGGTTTTCGCCCACACGTAGCGTTTTTCGAATTGTTTTCGCCGTCCACGAGTATTTGTTTTCGAAAAGTTGCGTCTTCAAGACCAATCCACGCAGAAAATTCCTTTTCAAAAATAGCCTGATACGCGYGTGGACCGGACGGGGCCTTAGCATTTGACAACATATATCGATGTAATACGACAATACGTTAATGTTTTATGTCGTGATTGGAAAACAAGACTCGCCGGAACAGGAGGATTACCTGCATTTTCTGTCTCTGTTCAATTTCCATCTGTAGATTCTAAAATCAAGAATACAAACCATTATCTTTCTTGAAATAAATAACCCTAGGAGAGGCTAGACAGGAGGGTAGGTTGCTAGGGTGGCTGTTTATCTTCAGTCTCCCTCTGTGGGTACGAATAAAAGCGGCATGYGTTTTGTAGGAGGAGAGAGATAATTTATTGAGGCTACTAGTCGCGTGATAACCCGCCTGGAGAGTTCTAGTTAACAGCCGGGACTATGAGTATAAAGTGAATTGGTGTTGAGCATTCATTCCCATGAGAATAAAAGGACGAAAAATGTGGCCGCAATGTTGGTTGACATGACAAAACACACSAAGTCAAAGTCAACCAAAATGGCGGCTATGACGTCACATACACCCAAAGAAAACTAAGGCCTACATCACACATTATACTATAGAGGGTAAACTTACAACAGTAACTTCTGCCGACTGAGTCTGGTACTTGGATGTCATCTGAGCATACTTTTCACGCTCCTGTATGTAATAAGTAATTGACAAAACAATTTAGATCGTGGCTAACTACAGCTGCGCACAGACTGCCCGTCATTACGTTAATTGCTGCGTATGCGCTGTATTGTGCAAGGATATTGGGTCCTGAGACAGCAAGATTAGTGTACAAGTTATCTTACCGCAGCTAATTCTTGGTGAAGTTTTTTACATTCTTTTTCTTTCTTTCTCAAGTCAGCCGACGACACTTTATTCCGTTTTTGGCTATCTTTACTCCAATCTTTTCTGTTCATGATCTCAGCGAGTTTGTTCACAGCTTGGATTTTCAATGTCTGTTCGATGCGCAACTGTTTCTTGATTTGCTCAGTAGCAGTTTCAATATCCTTGTTGCTATCATTGGCTTTCTCAAGCTCTGTAGATAATATGAAGAACACAAATAAGCGCACTTGATTTAAAAAACTGTACAAATAATATTCAAGTTCAATAAACTACTAAGCAAGGGGATTCCACTCGTAGTGTATGCATGAATTTTATTACTATTAAAGAGAACTTGCTACAGAAGACAAGAAAACAAAGTTGATACTGTAGAATACTGTAGATACCCTCTACCGGCTTGTGACAAGCTGTTTTTAGTTGTAAATATAAAAGCATAAACATTAAGAAATTCGTAGACTCAGGCGTTTCTCTGGCGTAGCGGGAATACCAGAGTTGGAAGGGCCTCCACGCGCGTTTTGGCGCGAAAATTCCAGCCTAATCCACAGGTAGCCCAACAAAATGGAAGGGAGRGAACGAACTCTTTTTTATCTATTCAGTTTACTATGTAGCTCTTTTCTAATAGAAGAGACGGCGCCGCCACAATTGAATCACCTAATGTCGTTCATGCTTATCATGCCGGTGTTGCAAACCTACCAGCTTTGATTTGATTTATCTGACTATTCAATTCCTCTTTTTCGTGTACTTTCTGATCCAAACTAGAAGTCAACTGTTGGTTCAATTCTTCTAGTTGGGTTATCTGAGCAGCTTTGTCAGACATGTCACTCTTGTGTCGAGCTATCAGTTCTTTCACTTCTAGTTCTATCATTGTCTTTTCTTTCTCCAGGTCTGAGTACTGTTCTTCGGCGATCGAGCGCGCCAACTGCTCAGAGTCTGCTTTAGTTAGCGTCAGTTCTAGTTGGGCAGACAGTGATTCCCTGAAATACACCATACATTACGTCAATCAACTTACAATGGAAAGCATCAGCAAGCACGGTGTAACTAAACACAATGTAAAAATTTAAACAATAGCTGAATTTTGACGATTTTCGATTAAAATCAAGCGCTCCCAAAAGACGTCCCTAGGAGTACTCATTGAGTAAAATACAAGAAATACATTGTTGAAACGCATTAATTTTGCCTGCGYTTTCGTCCTTCAGCTTAAAGTCTCTAATAAATGTATAATGACCGGGGCAATGAGAATGTCACGTACAAAGTAACATAAAACACAACAATATTTGCATCGATCAAGGTATCACACTCTAACATATGTATAAGAGACCTTTTCTAAGATACCGAATATGATGCACCGTGGTCTAGTTGGAATACAAACATATTTTGTCCATCATACTTCATAAGGTATTGTTTCTACCAAAGATAGATCGAGCTTAAAATTCTTATGTGCCTTGCCGTGGGCTTTTGTCCTTCTTGAGGAACAATGCAATCTGTTCCTTTTGTATCGGTGCACAAATCTCACACGGAGGGAAAATGTAAAAGTGGTCAGCTACATTGCATACCATATGTCCTTGAAAAAGTTAACTAATAAAATTGTGCAAATTAGTGCAAAGTTTTGTAGGTCTACGGTAACTAAGGTCTACTGAACTTACTAATTTGTGCAATTTTCTTACAGTTTTTCACGAATATATGGTATGTACTGTACTGTGCTTGTCGACGCAGTGTAAATGTTAAGCACAAAGTAACGCTAACGAAATCGATCAAGTAACGTACACAGGAACTCCTACCTTTCTTCTCGTAAATGTTTAACTTCGCTCTGAATATCTTGGATCTGTTTGTTTTTCTCATCCATTTCTTCTCTTAGTTCTTTCACCTGAGTCTTGTACAATGTCTGTGAAGATTGCAGTTTACCATTAAGGAGGCTGGAAAGTGTTTTGTGCYWTCACATTATGAACTAAAAAAATTATTATGGCTATAATATTACAGCAAGTAAACCCAGAAAGCCAAAGACCATAAACCAAAGATAACAATGAACATGAAAAAATGACGTAAGACGTTGCTATGACAACATCAGAACCCTTGGTATGCCATGAAAAATGTTTATTTAAAAAATCATAACTCAGGAACCATGAATTAAGAAGGAGGAGCTATTAACTATGGTTAAAGAAACAGGTAAAGTAAAGTCAAACCATCTGGACCGGACATCTTACCGAGAAGTACTGCTCTGCTTCTAA